CCTGCCCCTCACCGCCCTGCCCCACCCAGCCCTGCCCCTCACCGCCCTGCCCGCACGTCCTGCCCCTCCCCTGCTGAGGGGGATCTGATGCCCGCTTGCCCGTCTTGTTGGCCGGCCTCTCAGTAAGGCCTCCTAGGGTCCAACCCGCCTTCGCGACAGGCACAGCGACAGGCAGCCGAGCTCACGGGGGTTTTGCGGTAAAGGCTCCATGCTGTGGTCCTGAGGAAACCCCGTGCCGGCCCGCTGAGACCTGCCACTGCTCCCGCTCCCGGTGAGAGGCCCACAAGGGCTGACCTTGCGATGTTTGCGTTCCTCGGAAATAAAGCTGAAGGTGACGAAGAGTGAGTGATCGGAAAGGACTTTAACTGAGACACAGTGGCCTGGGCCGGGCCGCGTTTGGAGGCGTGTGTGTGGCAGTGGGCTCTCTCCCGACACTGCCCCTGGCCTGGGAGCTGTGGGGACTGCCCGGCCTGGGGGCGGGGACGGTGCGGGTGGGGCAGCCGGTGAAGAGCTGCCCCTGCAGGTCACTGTGGGCGAAGTTCTTCCTCGCGGCTACTCGTGCGCCCGCGGGAGCCCAGCTGTGTTGGCTTCGGGATTGTCGGCACGCACCTGCCGGTCCCCAAGGTGTGGAGCCTGGATGGGGTGTCACTGTACAGCAGCCCCTGAGGGGGCAGGGACATGGGGGCGCTGGCAGCGTGGCCCGGGGGGTTGGGGGCCTCCTCAGGACTGGAGGGGCCAAGCCCTCACATAGCGGCCTGGTTGTTAGGAAGCGGTCAGTTGGATTTGCTGTAATATCTATTTTTTCCAGGAAGGGAATCAAACACTTTAGCGAAGTTTTGTCTCAAAAAGGATTGTAGCGAAAACGTGTTCCCTGTTTAAGACGCGGCTTTCCATCGCCCAGAGCCCTGGCTTGGGCGCGTGTGGGTGACAGCCGTGTGGGTGGGGGAGGCTGTGCCCGTGGGGCCTGGGCTGCGGGTTTGGAGGGGAGAACAGAGCCCCGCTCCCCCCTCTCCGCGCCCTGGGCCCCAGCAGCCTCCTGCCTGGACTCAGACCCTCCCATGACATTCCCTCTTCCAGGGAGGACCTTCTGATGGCCCCAGGCTGCCAGTTTCCTGGGAGCAGCTGTACCCCATTTTCCTTCTCTGGACCCTCAGGGGCTTCTCCTCCTGCTGCTCCCTCAGAAGCACTGACCTGTAGGCCTGTGATGTGGGACTTGCAGCCTCTGCTGTGGGAAAGGGGAGCAGGGGTGAGGGCAGTGGAGGTGGGGGGTCATGGAGGTGGGGGGCTGCTCCTCCAGCTTTGCAGCCTGCTGACCTGGTGCTTCTCCACAGCCCTCGGTGAGTCCTGTGTGGCCACATTGACCTCCATCCATGGGAACACTCGCTGGTCCCCCTAGGTCCTCCTGGGTCCCCCTGGGTCCCCTTGGGTCCCCCTGGGCCTTGCTGGGCCTCGAGGACTTGGCAGAGCAGTGGGGGATGCAGGCTTAGAGTCCGCCAGGGGGCCCTGTGTCCTGCTGACCCATGAGGACCTGGGGTGGGGGCGGCTGCGCTGCCAGGGAAGGGCCAGAGTAGAGTCAGAAACCGTCCTTCACAGATCCCTGCCCACAGCCAGCCTCGCTGGGGCGCTGGGCATCCCAGGGAGACTAACCAGCTCTCTCTCTCTGTGTCTCTGTCCCCGTTTGACTCCCAGGGGGGCTTTCTCTGTGGTCCGGCGCTGCGTAAAGCTCTGCACCGGCCATGAGTATGCAGCCAAGATCATCAACACCAAGAAGCTGTCGGCCAGAGGTAGGTGGGCATGTGCAGAGGGCTGGGCGCAGGGGCACAGAGGGTGTGAGTGGGGTCCTGGCCACTGTAGGACCTGGGCAGGGCAGGAGGATGGGGACCCCACCCTCGGAACGGGGATCACGCCTTCTCAGGGGTTTGGGGGCCTCCCTGGAGCTGGAGGGGCAGAGGCGTGGGGGCCAGGTGATGCCATCTGCCGTGAACTGGGGGCCGGAGGACTGGGGTGCCGGGCGATGCTGAGGCCGTGTGAGCTGGGGATCCTTCCCAGCCCCCCCCCGCCCCCGGGTCTTCACACACGGCCGCCTGCCTGTACTGGGGAAGGCGCAGTGGCCTGCAGGGTGGAGTGTGGCCCTGGGCACCTGGCCTCACCTGCCTGCACCCTCAGAGCTCCTGCTGCGTGACGCCCTCATGGTGTCGGACAGGGTCCCAGGTGTGGGCAGAGGTGCAGGGGGGGTGAGCATTTTGGTGAGCGGCTGTGACCGGGTCTGCGTGTGGAGTTGCTGCCTGAGCAGGTGCCATGGGAGGACAGATGAAGTCTGAGGGGCTGGGACTGGGGTCAGGGCCGCTGGCCAGGCAGGTACCAGGGAAGCCAGCACCTGGGGCTCTGTGTGCCCAGCCCTGTAGAGTCTGGGATGTTGTTTTCCTGCTTAACTCCTTATTATGGAGAATTCCGAATGTCCCTGAGTAGAGAGAAATGATAGAGCGAGGCCCATCTTCAGAACTCACTGGCCCCTTTTGTTCCATCTGCACCCCCGCCCCCCCCGGATCTTAGGGCAGAGCCCAGACAGTTCACCTGGGGCTGAGGGGAGCCGGCAGCCGTCTCGTCACCACAAGCCGGACGCTGCCCGTGTGGCCCTGGCTGTGTTCCTGAGCCACCTGGACCTCGGCTTCCCCGGAGGTGACCGAGGGGTAGGCTAGTCTCTGCTTCAGAGGAGCATCGTGCAGGGAGGGCGTGAGTGCTGCCGGAGTCCCCCTCCCTTGCTCCCAGGTCCCAGCAGTCCTCTGGGCCCCTGCGCCGGCTGTGAGGGCCCAGACGTGACCCTTGGCTAGTGGGGTAAGCGAGACCCTGGGCATCAATTGTGCCCAACCTTGAGCCCCACTGTGTCTGCCATGGCTTCTCAGTGACCCCTATGCCTCCGAGATTCAGAGCCAAGGATTCCTGGCCCCCAGAAGCAGAGCTCCAGGAGCCACAGCCTAACAGAGTTGGGTGCACAGGCTCTGGACTCCACCCGGGAGGGAGGGCTGGGTGATCTCTGGTTCATGACCTCCCAGGGGGCTGACGTCACAGGGGGCTGACCTCACAGGGGGCTGATATCCCAGGTGAGGGACAGACCATCCCCTCCTCCCCTCCATTCCTCATGGGGCACCCCTGTCCCTCTCATCCAGGTCCCCTTCCTAAGTCCCGAGCGCCCGGTCCCAGCAGGGAAGCAGCCAGAACTGGATGCAGGGCAGGGTCCCTCTGTCCACCTGTTCTGGCTCCCCCCACCCCACAGCAGGGAGCCTGTAGGAGCCAGGGGTGAGGTGGGGGCCTGGGAGGGTGGGGTCAGGACGGGGGTTGTCACGGGACATGAAGGCGGCACCTTGGAGGGGGTGGCCTTGAGGACCCGAGCCCTTCCTCTGCCTCAGTTTCCTCTACCTGATGAGCCGGCTGCACGGCCACAGGTCCTCTCCCAGCTCCCTCAGCAGCCTCCTTCATTCCGTTTATTTCTTGATAATCCTCACCTGGGGATATTTTTTCCATTGATTTTATTTATTTAAAAAAAATCTATATTGTTGAAAGTATTATATACGGCCCGGCCTGCGTGGCTCAGTGGTTGAGTGTTGACCTATGAACCAGGGGGTCAGGGTTCGATTCCTGGTCAAGGGCCCAGGCCCCGGTTGTGGGCTGGATCCTCAGCAGGGGGCGTGTAGGAGGCAGCCGATCCATGATTCTCATTATTATATTTTTTAATTAAATCTTTATTGTTCAGATTATTACAGTTGTTCCTCTTTTTTCCCCCCATAGCTCTCCTCCACCCAGTTCCCACCACACCCTCTGCCCTTACCCCTCCCACTGTCCTCATCCATAGGTGCATGATTTTTGTCCAGTCTATTCCTGCACCCCCCCCTTC